TTTGCTTAATATTAACCTTTTAAATATTTATTGTAAACCTAGCTTTAATAAATGAAAATATTTTTATTTTATTTTATTTTTAACGTCATATTGCTTAATATTATATATAATCAATTTAATGGAGAAGTAAGAACCTTGTGAATGTTTATTGTAAACCTTAATATTAATAAACGAAAATACAAATTTTATATATACCATTTTTATTTATTTCACATACATTTTTTTATTTTCTATAATTATTTAATAACCTTACGTTTTACTCCGTGTAATGGTGTGAGGTGTTGAGCGCCCCGTTTACTTGATATATCTGCAGAGGGCTTGTCAAAAAAAGATGGCGACGGTGGTGGTGATTGAATCGAGAACGACGTTGGACTATCATTCTCATCAACTACTAAAGCTCGTTGACGTAGGTATAGATCTGGCTTGTGATACCACGGAGGGTACTGCGCCAAATTGTCAGAATCATATCCATCGTTCTCATCGATGGACTAAACAAAATTAATAATTTATATTATATGAGATGAACGCGTATAACGTATGTTAATAGATAACATAAATAATGTTTCAGTTAGACTAGTGTGTTGTTTATATTATGAATAATATATGGCTCTACTATATAAATCAATATTGTTTTTATTTAAAGAAAAATATTATATAAATTACCTTAGCTAGAGTAGTTGTAGTGGCAACTTCCTGTTTACTCGATATAATGTTGTCTGGAGAATAGTTTGGTGATATTGGTGAATATCCATACTGTAACTAAAATAAAAATAATAAAACTTGTTTAAATATATGTTTGTACATAATATTATATTTATGAATTATTACCTTATCTAGAAAATTATTTTCCGCATGATGAGTAGATAATGGTGAATAACTTGGAGATATCGGGGGGTCCATTGCGTGTTCTCCGTCAAATAACTAAAAATAAAAATTGTAATTAGTATATTTATATACAATAATAATATATTTTATAATTACCAATGGAGCGTTTCGAGCCTTTCGTTCTATCAAAAGACCAGCTACATGCGCAGCAGCGAATAACTGAATTTGCTGAGTCATGATTGGCTCCGATTGTACGATCTGGTAGTCTGTGTTCTTCTTTATGAATATTATAATTTCTTCTTCATTTACCGGAGGTGAATGCATCTGGTTAAACTTTTCTTCCAAGTACTTTACATACCCTCTAACTTGTTTTGCAAACAATGTATGGCTATTTGATGACGTCCGGTGAATAATTTCAAAAATAGATCCTTCCAAATATTGTAGATAAATAAGATCTGAGCGACTTAGAAGTACTCTGCAACCTTCTTGATTTTTAGTCTCGACTACCAGAACATTTTCTCCTCCGTAAACCATACTTGATATTTTTTCGGTATCCGTTTCGTAAAATATTGTTCGTTTATATTTTTCCGGAATGTTTAATATATACGAGAGGATATTTCCCATCAGTGAAAATATACGTTTTAAAGTATAATACGTAATATGCACATACCGGGATGGAGTTAATATACGTATAATGACTTCACAGTGTTTTGAAGTAGGATTAAGACCGATGTGTATAAATTTTCTTGCCACGAAATCTATTGTAATGCTCGTAGATTCAAGTAGATCTGAAGGTGTAGCCGGAGGTACATATGCGAAGGATTTTTTCTTGTATACTTCAATATTATTTGAGATTGAACCGGCCATGTTTTTAAAAATAATAAACACTTTAAATTTACAAATACTTAGAAAAATTTAGAACACTTTAGAATAATATATTATGACTTGTAAAAAATTATAAGCTCAGAACAAATTATAAGACTGATAGAAACGTAGAGGAGAATTACAATTGTGTAAGACTGAGAACAGACTGAATGAATGTCAGCTCTTACAGAGGCAAGATGGGTGTGGATGGGTCCATTAATTGGTAGGAGATACAATATCAAGCTATCTAAGAGTCTAACGTGTAAGCGATTAAGTTATTTTTTAGTATAAATTGGTTATTAATGTGTTATTCATTAGCAGGTATGATAACATTTCGTGGGAAGGTTTTGATTTAATTGTGTGTTATTCGCTAATAGGTATTTTAATTTGTTGTTGTTGTTAAGCGATTATGATATTTTTTAGTATAGATTGATTATTAATGTGTTATTCATTAACAGGCATGATAACATTTCGTGGGAAGTTTGATTTCATTGTGTGTTATTCATTAATAGGTATTTTAATTTGTTGTTGAGTATAATATCTAAGAGTCTACAGGATAACTGTATAATTGATAACTGATAATATTTATAATAATATTAAATATATGTTGCTCACATAACGGATCGGAAGGTGGTGGGGAGGTGGGGGGTTAATATGTATCGGTCACGTGATACGGGTTCAGGTGGAGGGTAAATATACAAAATATATATATATATATTGGTCACGTGATACGGGTTCAGGTGGAGGGGTAAATATACGTCACACACGTACGCAATCATCGGCGGCGGATCAGAGGGGGCGGGGAGGTGGGGTAAATATACAAAATATGTTTCGGTCACGTGATACGGGTATAGGTGGAGGGTAAATATACGTCACACACGTACGCAATCAAGGATCAAGAATCTCAGAATCAAGGATCAAGGATCTCGGAATCATACATCAAGGATCAAGGATCAAGACTCTTAGGATCAAGGATCAAGGATCAAGGGATCAGTATTTAGAACATACATATTCATACTACTATTCTCAGTTAAGCTGATAGCATACATCGATCACAGGGAAGAACATTGAAAAAATCTATAGTTGATATATTTGTGGTGCCGTGTTTCAAATTGGCTTAACGTAAGTTGCACTCAAGCGTGTGAAGGCATTAAGCGGATTACTACTAAAGCCATTTTTCATTTACGACTGATTGTTGAAAATCAACATCTGTGAAGCTATAATAGAATTCTGGGACGAGTTGCAGAGCTTGTGAAATTTATATCAAAAAAAGGTGGGCAAGTGGGTGTCGCTCTGCTGTACAGTAGGTTACAAGTGGGTCACTGTATAATGGATGGTATTAAATTTGAATTCAATGATATAATATCATTGTATAAGAAAAACGATTCTGAGCGGTGACGGTATGTCAGTGTATGTATAAGACATATTATATACTTATCTATGGTATTAAAAAAATTGACCTATAATGAATTCCAAATTAATCATATCACAATATCCATTAGGTACTTATAACGCGTTATACATCAACAAAAACCGTGATACTATCATAGATATATAATAGTACACTTTAGAAGTTTCAAGTACCCACGAATCATATTATTCAATCACAACAAAATAACTAAAATAGTTATTCTAGGTTTTTTAATATGTAATTTCGTCCAAATTTGAATTTAAAATGTCTGTAAAAAATAACTGTGTTCATATATTTTTTAGATTTTTTGGTTACAGTATGAACTATTTATGAGAACCTTTGTTTTAAATTTGCAATCCTTAGCTATAAAAACTGAACATTTTATAATTTATTAATTTCAATGATTGATAATTTTCGAGATTTTGATAAATTTTGTCAACATTTGATCTTTAAATGCTTATAAAAAAAAACTGTGCCTATGTATTTTTAATATTTTTCAACTGCTATTGTAACAATATATCAGGAGCCTTGTATTAAATTTTTACACTTTTTGGCCCAACAGATAAAACTTTATTGATATTTGTAGAAAAAAAAACTAAAAAAAATTGAAAGCTGTAAATGTCGATAAACAGCTCAAAAAGAGTCAAAATATTTTCAAAGTTGTATGGTGTATAGAAAATGCTAATTTAAACATTCAGTGAAATTTTCATGTATCTACAGTTGTTCGTTTTTGAATTGCAACAAAATAAGGAAATCGCTACATGAGTAATCGAGTGAAAATCCAATGTTGTAAAAATTTGAATTTCAAACGCTCATAAAAATTTAATTTGACTGTCCGGTAGAGATTTTTTTATTGATAAAGGTAGATAATCTTATAAGGAATCTTGTGTTTCATTTTCAAATCTTAGATTTAAAAGAAAAATTTTTACGAATTCTTAACTCAAAATAATTTGCTAATTTTCGTGATTTTTCCATATTTTGTCAATTTTTGAACTTTAAATGCTTATAAAAAAAAATTGTGACTAAGGATTTTTAATATTTTTCATCTGCCTTTGAAACAACATATTAGGAGCCTTCTATTAAATTTTCAAGCTTTCGCAACCAACAAATAACATTTTATTGATATTTTTAGAAAAAAAACTAAAAAAAAAAGGTGGGCAAGTGGATGTCGCTCTGCTGTACTGTAGGTTACAAGTGGGTCACTGTATAATGGATGGTATTAAATTTGAATTCAATGATACAATATCATTGTATAAGAAAAACGATTCTGAGCGAAGACGGTATGTCAGTCTAGGTTTAAGACATATTATATACATATCTAATATCTATGGTATTAAATTATGTGGAATTAAATTTTCCTAAATTTTTCTTTTGTTTTTCACGGCGCTTTTGAAGACTACTGGGAAATTTTTACTTTTGACCCCCCAAAGTACCAACTAAATTCACTTCCCTATCAGAATAGATACTGTTAAAGAAAATCCAAGCACTTTTACTGTCCTAAAAGGTGATGACAGACACAGAAAAAAAAATTAGCAGAGTTATCCGGGTAGACAAAGTGCGACGGCCGACCCACGTCATTAGCTATGCAATAATTAAGTAATAATTATATTAAAATATATTAAGTACCTACTACCAGGGGTACGAAACTCCGTGCGTTGGCCGATCAGGCGATTGTGGCCTTGAACACGGTCTATGCTTCTATGCTACAACTACTTGGTTATATTCATGAATTATGGTTGCCTATATTAATCGATGATAAACGTTCGGTGATAAGGCCTACCGGTTTTGGCGGTATTCTGTTAAAGGCGGGAATTTTTGAAAACCATGTGTGCGTGTGTATCAATCAATGTCAATATAATATGCCATTATTAATTACCTGCATGGTTTACCTGCGTTGACAATGAACTGCGCCGACGTCCGACAATTTTTGGACAAACCGTTATTAAACATCCGCCTGTCGTCCGTCAAAGTAAAATTTCTAATAAAAAAAAAAAAAAGATTTCAAAAACGGACAACACGTGAGTATATTTTGTATTATTTAACAAACCAGTGCATTATTTTTCACTTCGGTTTAATCTAGTGAATTTAATATTTTATAATATCACCAACCTAATAATGCAGACCAATCAATTGTTTTTTTCAACTTACTTAAACTTCAACTTAATTTACTTTTATTTATTAACTTTAGAATGAGTAAAAATATATACAAATACCACAATTTAAACAAATGCCAATTTTACATGGGCCAAAGCCCTGCAGGCGGCGAATCAGAAAACCGCGCCCGACGTAAGCATACATTTGGTTAATATATATATATTGTATAAAATTAGGAACGATTAAAATAATATCTACCCGTTTCAGAATGTTACAATTGCGGAAAACAGGGCCACCTCTCCCGGGATTGCAGTGAGTGTTTACTTTACATATTCCTTAATATCAGTCTTATTATTATATTGTATACAATTGTAATTTATATTGTAGCCAAGCCCAGAGGTGTAGGTGGTGGTGGCCGCGGCGGCAACGGCAGTAGTCGTGGTAGCAGAAGGCGGTGGGGAGGTTGCGACGGCAGGGGAGGTGTCGGCGGCGGTGGCAGTGGACGTTATGGTGGTAGGTGGCGGGGAGGTGGCAGAGGAGATGACCATATAAGGCCCCTCTCCAGATCCCGCTCCCCAGCATCATGGGCATCATCAAACGTAAGGATTTATTAATATTTTTAAAAATAAATCCAATTACATTTCTATGTAAATCTAATTAAACGAATAATTATCAGGTGGTCCCTCGTCGACGGTCCAAGAGCTCACCGTCGCCACTGTCCAGCGTTGTAAGTTTATTATACTAGAAAAAAATAAAAAAAAAAATACCTATTCAAGTTTTCGAAATTGATAAATCTAACTAAACGAATAATTTTCAGGAGGTCCGTCGGCAACGACAACTCGACGATCGTCGTGATGATGGAAGGCGGCGGGGAGGTGGCAGAGGAGATGTGGTTTATCCAAGGCCCCTCTCCAGATCCCGCTCCCCAGCATCACGGGCGTCGTCAAACGTAAGGATATATTGGTATAATATTTAAAATTAATAAATCTAATTAAACAATTTATTTTCAGGAGGCCAGTCATAGGCAAAGGGCGCCACACCTAATAAGTTCAACAAAACATTTACATAGGTAAATTTAATAATATAATATGTTTACAATAATAAATCAATATATAGTTAGCTCCTTAATAGTAATATACAATATAATAATATCATTATCTTAATGACACTAACTGGATTCCATTTCCTAAAGTCATAATGTTGGTAGGAGTAGGATTGGATAGATCTGTTATGTATCAACTGCCAAATTATGATTTAGAACTTAATTTTACTCGATCTAAATTCTAAACAAACAATTAAAATCTTAACTGTAACTATGTAAAATAAAATAAAATAAATTATTACACCAATATACTTCATAAGATATAAATTAATTAGAATTAATATTTTGGTTTTGTTATTTTTCTTCCCGAAACTTGGTATTAGTCATGTAAAATTTCATTTATCTTGATCAATACCATTATTGTGATTTCTTCATTTCTTATGGTTTCTGAAACACACGTGTAAAATGTAAATACATATTAATTATGTATTATATTAAATGAATACAGCAAAGGTACAGTAGGGGAGTTCGGGTACAATTGTAACATTTTCAATAACGTATTTATTTCTAAGAAAATACAAACTTTAAAGCTCAGATTTTGTACTCATTTTAAATAACTTAAAATCTTTATAAATATGTGAAAAAAAATGTTACAAACGTACCCCATCTTTATTTTATCAATATTTGAACTTCAATTGTTAATGCTAAGAAAAAATTGTACCTATATATTTCCGTTGTTAATTTTTGAATTGCTATAAGACCAACTTATTAGACAATTTGTATTCAATTTACAAGTTTTTTAAATCAGCAAACTATTGTTTATCAACAGTGATATTTCAAATGCCTATGAATTGCTTAAAAATAAGCGATAGATTTATTAGAGGGAATTTGTAAATACTTTTATTAACAGGCTAAAAGCTATTTTTTGTAAATGAATTGTTTTCGGTTTTTTTTTAGGTCGCTTAACCAAGGCACCTTGGAAGATACTAGTGAACTACTAATGAATATGCCTGAAGAGTATTCTCTAGGACATTGTGTGGCAAAAGATATGCGTATGAGTGCTGGTATCGCCGTATATTTCAAGTTAGTGAATAACAGTTTTATTGATAAAATATTGTAATGTTTTAATTTATGTACCTATTCAAATATGATTTAGGATAAAATTTGGAAGAGTTGGCGAACTAATGGGCCAAAGACCAAATGTTGGTTCGGTAGCGTATTTGCAAGAAAACGATAGATTTATTTACTATTTAATTACCAAGGAGCTTAGCAACCAAAAACCAACGTACAATAGTATAACTGCAGCCATTACGAAATTACGTGATCTTATTGTAGAACATGGTGTTAAAAAACTAGCCATCCCACGTATTGGTTGTGGTCTAGACAAATTAGACTGGTCCATAGTAAGAGACATAATTGAAAATGTATTTCAAAATGTAGGATGTACAATCAAAATTTGTCATTTTACACATGTAATTATACTTAATTCAGTCTTAATAACAAGCAATTGTATGAAATGAGTTTACTTATGTTTTTAATTTTTACAGAATTTGTCAAAAGAGTCAGAATTACTTCGAGTTGAACATCCAAGTACTATAAAAGCTCATAAAAGTATCAAAGATATAGAAAAGCGAGAATTTGAAAAACTGAATATTATATTATTTTCTCGGAAAACAACTTTACCAGTGTATTGGGATCAACATTTTCAATCAGTCAATGAAAAATACTGCTTTAAGTCACAATACTGTAAACACTATGAGGCAGATCTTGAAGTTGGTCAGTGTTTATATTACAGCACAATAGAAGCTTACATATTTGTTATCATCACTAACGAAAATACAACAGACCATTTTTCATATCAAAACTTGGAAAAAGGACTTGTAAAAATGAAAATGTTGATCAAGAATGATCAGTGGCACCCAACATTCATTATACACAGAATGAATAATTATATATTTGAACATCTCATTAACAAAAAAATTGTATCCCTGATAAGTTCAGCTTTTTTAGAATTTACTCCATGTTCAATACTTCAATTACAATAAAATCTAAAATATAGAAATCAAAGACAATATACAGATTATTTTCTTTTATTTACGCTTAGTTTGGCTAAATGTAGCTCGCAAAACTGCACCTGGTCTAGGGTATGGTTGCATTTGAAATGGTTGTCCTGAGGCTGTAGTGTCCACCATTTAGCTTCAACTGTTTGGTCATCGCTCCAAGAACTCCTATAAGTAAATAAATAGTTGATAAAACGTATATATCATGCAAGGTTAGTTCATCAAAACTACGCTGATTTAACACCGTGTGTAAGTTTTGAAATTAATAATTACTCATCATTTTTAAATTAACAAAATTTATTTTTCTTGCAATCAAAATTCGAGAGTTTACTTAAATTTATGTCAATATACAATAATTATTATTTTACTTACACTTAGATTGGCTAGATGAATCACCATACATAACCGCACCTTGGACTAGGATATTATGTTGCATTTGAAACAGTGGTCCTGACTACAGACATGTCAACCCCAGAATTAGCTTCAACTGATAGCCCATCAATCCAATAACCCATAAAAGTATAATACACCGTTAATAAAACTTTTGTTAACTCTAATTATTTAGTTATTACAATGTATGTATTATTCATATAAATGTAGTAACAAAAAAAATATAATGAGAATACTGTAGTGATCTCACGTGCAGTTGGAGTTTGAATTGAATGGATGTCAGGTATCAAGATAGAGTAAACACATGAGTTACCTACTACCCGGATGTGTTTAACATAACAAAATTCTAATCGTTGAATTTTGCTAGTAATAACTATTTATTGTAATACTGCTAATCCTTTCCTGTCAATAATCATAGTATTGGGTTATAAATATATATTCTATATAATATATTATTATAATGCTTGCCTCCAGTACTATAACAATACACTGATTAATCCAAGGAATATTTCAATATGATTTGTTGGTCTGGAGGAAGGTATAATTGAGTACACTGTTAGATCACTTAAAATACTACAATGAAAAATCATTAGAATTTGTGTATGCAATATGTAGAAATGCTTTAAGAATCAAAATAAACTTTACAATTTCAATTTTGAATTTTAGTGATTATTTATTTGTTTTGTAGATAGTAAAATCACGATTTAAGATATCTTTAATCGTGAGTAAAATAATTTATTGTAGTATCTTAAATCATGATTTTGATAATAAAATCTATAAACATAACCTCAATTATAATAAATATATCCAATATTTAAATTGGTAACCGTCACTGACCCTAACCATCCCTAACCAAAATTATATTTAATAGTTTGTTATCAACATATAATCAAAGCAATCATGGTTAGTGATAAAGCAAAGAAAAGCATTTTTTGAATTTCAATAATTTTTTGAAAGTACCTGGAGTCCTGGATAACTACTTGAATATTCATAAAACCGACCATTTTAATGAAATATACGCACAATTCCCAATAATACACTATACATTTCACCGCCTATAATTTTCTTATGATAAATCTCACTCGCAAGCCCATGCCCACAATAGTTCCATAGTGCAAATGTGAAATAAAGTCAAGTTCACACGAAATTGAATCAAGAGTTTGAGAATTGTAATTTGTGTATTAGATACGCGAAAAAATCGGCGTAGTTCGTTAGTTTTAAAGCAGTTAGGGGCAGTAGCGCTGAACTACTAAAAATGTACTCGGGCCAAATGAAAATACAACGGCCCCAAGCTACTATATATCTCTTATTTGCATTAAGTAATCAAACATGATTTCTTATGTTGGTTAAAATATTTCAAAGACATGAAGTCATATTACTTAGTCATACTACTTAGAGCGACGCAAAATGATTGTAGGTATATTTAAAAATAAAATGTCCATGTCCGGCCGTCTCGGTCTTGATCGACCTGCCAAATTCGTTCTACGGGCGGAGCACCGTCATCTCGCAAGCTCCTGATAAGGCCTACCGGTTTGGCGGTATTCTGTTGAAGGCGGGAATTTTTGAAAACCATGTTTGCGTGTGTATCAATCAATGTCAATATAATATGTCAATACAATAAATAAATTAATCAGCCATGCGACTTATTACCGTCATCGGTTACCTGCATTGAAAATGAACTGCGCCGACGTCCGACAATTTGTGGACAACACGTTCTTAAACATTTTCTGTTTCATTTAATTCCACAATTTCTACGAAACACAATAAGAGAAAACACGTGAGTATATTTTAAATTATTTATTTAATTTGTTGTTTTTTAAAACGTTCAACGCAGATCGTAGGTATTTATCAATCAATATAATGTAACACATGCTTTCCGTTTAACGAATTTAATATTTTATCTCATACCATAAAATATAAATATAATAATACCGACAGATCACTTATTGTTTCATTTTATAATACACTTTCTTTATTGCTTTTTATTTGTGAACTTCAGAATGAGTAACAACATATAAAACATTAGCGGCAATTGCAAGGGTACATCAGGGCCTTGTTTTTTTAACACGTCCAACGCGGATCGTATATTATATCAATTAATAAATTATTATAATAATATAAGTGTTTTACTATACACTTTATTTTATTTTTTTTTATCTATTCACTTTAGACTGAGTATAATAAGATACATAAGGATTGTTTTTAACACGTCCAACGCGGATCGTATTTATGAATTAATAATAAAATATCCCTTATTATAATAACATAAATTTGCGAAGAAAATCGGGCCTTAGTTTTGTCTGCAACACATGCTTTCTGTGAAACAAATTAAATATTTTCTATTTTTTTCTCTTTAACACGTTCACCGCCGATCGTATTTATAAAATAATTTTATAATGTCTATTGTTATACCATAAACATTTGCAAAGAAAACCGTGGCTTAGTTTTGGTGTGCACCGCACATGCTTTTTGTTAAACGAATTTAATATTTTATAATATCACCAACCTAATAATGCAGACCAATCAATTGTTTTTTTCAACTTACTTAATTTACTTTTATTTATTAACTTTAGAATGAGTAAAAATATATACAAATACCACAATTTAAGCAAATGCCAATTTTACATGGGCCAAAGCCCTGCAGGCGGCGAATCAGAAAACCGCGCCCGACGTAAGCATACATTTGGTTAATATTATATATATTGTATAAAATTAGAAACGATTAAAATAATATCTACCCGTTTCAGAATGTTACAATTGCGGAAAACAGGGCCACCTCTCCCGGGATTGCAGTGAGTGTTTACTTTACGTATTCCTTAATAACAGTCTTATTATTATTATATTGTATACAATTGTAATTTATATTGTAGCCAAGCCCAGAGGTGTAGGTGGTCGTAGCAGAAGGCAGCGGGGAGGTAGTGGCCGTGCCGGCAACGGTAGTGGCCGTGCCGGTCGTGGTGGCAGATGGCTGCGGGGAGGTGGGAGCGGCGGCGGCAGTGGCAGGGGTGGCGGCGGCGGTGGCGTCAGGGGAGGTGGCGGCGGCGGTGGCAGTGGACGTGATGGTGGAAGGCGGCGGGGAGGTGGCAGAGGAGATGACCATCCAAGGCCCCTCTCCAGATCCCGCTCCCATGCAGCATCACGGGCATCATCAAACGTAAGGATTTATTAATATTTTTAAAAATAAACGTTCCAAGTATATTATATTAGTAAAAAATAAAAAAAAAATACCTATTCAAGTTTTCGAAATTGATAGATCTAACTAAACGAATAATTTTCAGGAGGTCCGTCGGCAACGACATCGCGACGATCGTCGTGATGGTGGTAGGCGACGGGGATCCCGTTCCCCACCATCACGAGCGACGTCAAACGTAAGGATTTATTAATATTTTTAAAAATAAATCCAATTACATTTCTATGTAAATCTAATTAAACGAATAATTTTCAGGTGGTCCCTTGTCGGCGGTCCAAGAGCTCATCATCGCCACCGTCCAGCGTTGTAAGTATATTATATTAGAAAAAAATTTTAAAAATTATTCAAGTTTTCGACATTGATAATGCTAATTAAACAAATTATTTTCAGGAGCACCAGTTCGAGGAGTGCGAAACCTTAACACCACCGCCAAAGGTAAGGATATATTTATATATTTAAGTGTTTGATATTGATAATTCTATAATTGAACACTTCATTAACAGGAAATGAGTGATGCCGGGGCAAAACGATGTAAGGATATAATATAAATACATTAGTTTTTGAAATTAATAATTCTAATCAAACCTATTATTTTCAGGTACCGAGAGTAGAAGCGAGAAGTAAGTTTTTAACAGGAACATTTTTTCTCAAAAAACAATTCTCTATGTTTGTTCTTTATGTTTTTTTCAGATGTTCAATAAACTAATAATCTAATGCTTCAAAACATGACTATTTTATTTACAATTATATTTTATTTTCCATTTCCTTTCCAACTAATTTTGAAATGACTATGTGTGTACTGCGCGTATGGTCTGAATGGTTTTTTTAATTTCTATTAGTTACCAATACATATAGTTCATACTATGACAACACCATAAATTATATGTGTGGTGTGAGGATCAAATAAGATAATAGTTATAAGGGTTCTAAGGATGTCAGTGAAATTAATGACCTGAGGTAGGTATTGCATAGGATGTCTAAAGTGTGTGACAAATAAAGAAATTTATTAAAGTTTTTACATAAAAATACCTATAATATTATAATATGTATTAAAAATAGTTGACAGCAATTTGTACAGTGGCATTACTAAATAAATAAATTAGCAGTCTACCAGGTCACTATAATATTGATTATTGAATGATACTTGAAAAAGTTTGACAGAAAAAAAGTAAATAATATATGTGTTTCCGTCTGATCTGAGAGTTATTATTCACAGCAATTGACCCAGTGATAAAATCAATTATATCAATTCACGGTGACATAGTATGTAGTAGCACACATAATTATTAGTCAATAAAATAGTTTCATCAATGGTATTTTAATATGTAAATAAAAAACTGTAATAATAATAAGAAAAAAAATAATTAACAGCAATTCGCAGTGTTGTAGTGTATACAGAATATTG